TCTGCGGCTACAAAAAGCTTTTCAGAGACGATTGAACATTTGATTCCCAATCAAGACTGCTGTTTTAACTTGAGTTTTGACCTTTAAGTCATTGGAAACAATTACCCCAAGTTCTCGTTCCACTATTGTTTCTTCCAGTGTACAACGAGTTCCATCTAGCTGTGTCCTTGTGTATGAATGTGTTGACTTGTTAGTATGTCCAACATGCATAACTCTGCATTTATTGATGTTAAAAGGCATTAACCACTTGTGCGACCAGTCAGCTATTTTATCTATGTCAGCTTGAAGAAGGTTGGCATCTTGCAGAGATACGATGAATCCAATAATTTTACCATCGGCATAAAGTTTTGTGTGGTGTACAATGGTGTCTGGCAAATCATTAATAAATAAGACGAATAGTAGTGGACCAAGGACTGAGCCCTGTGGCACACCGATAGTCATTGGGACCCACTCAGATATTATTCCTTATAATATTATACACTACTCTCTGTTGCTGACTAGTTAACCAATTCTTAACCCATTTAAGCAGGGTTTCACTAATCCCATAGGCTTGCAGTTTGTGTAACAGGCGCCTGTGTGGAACTTTGTCAAATGCTTTGCCATTTTGTCTGTATAAATTACATCTGCAGGAAACCCTAGGTGCATGCTTTGTGTAAGTATTTCATGTGCTTCAAGAAGATTTGTGACACACCCTCGCTTAGGAACAAAACCATGTTGAGCTTTGGATATAAGATTATATTTTGTGCAAAACTTCATTATACAATCATGTAAGAGACTTTCCATGACTTTGCAGACTATGGATGTTAGTGATATTGGTCTGTAATTTGATGGTTGAAGTTTACTTCCTTTTTTAAAAATTGGTGTAATATTAGATTTTTTCCACAAATCTGCAACATCACTCGTTGATATAGGTTTCTTGTAGATTATTGTGATTGGGATTGCAAAAGATGTTGCTCACTTTTTAAGAACGTGTGAATGTATTTCGTCATAACCCATGGCCTTATTTTCAGATAACCCTTTTAGTTTTTTTTCTAGTTCACGCTCATAAATGCTATTTTCATCAAACTGACATATGGTTTGTGTGCGTAGATTAAAATATGGCATAGAACCTTCTTGTTTAACTGCAAACATTGTCTGGAAATAATTATTTAGTAATGCGCAAATATTGTCTTTTTTTGTAGTGGCTGAGTTGTTCATTGTTTGTAAGCTGCGAATTTGTTCATGAACTCGTTGTTTGCTGCGAATATGTAAGTGTAGGCATTTTGGGTTAGACTTAGAAGCATAAACTAAATCATCTTCATATGAAAGTATGGCGTCTTTAACAACCTTTTTACATTTTTGCATGCAACTTTATGTGCATTTCGTAAATTTTCATGAGTATGGGGGCCTGCAACAATGTATTTGAGCCATAACATATGTTTTTCTTTTACTGCTGCTTTTACCTCTGGTGTAACCCAGGATGCATTTTTTATTTTAGGTGGAACTAAAGTTGATGGTATGTTTTTCTTTAATGTATTTTTGTATATATTAACAAGTAAGGAAAAATTATCTTTAGCTGTATGACCTTCAAACATGGTATGCCAGTTGTTTGAAGCTATTTTTGTTGATGTTGCATCATAGTCGGTTCGATTCCAGATAAGACGTGAGAGTTTTGGTGCTGTTACTTTTAAATGAACAGCCAATATACCAGCAATAACACAGTGTGATTGCCCTGTTTTTGTAAACCCCAGTGGGTCATCTTCTGAGACTTTTATGAACCTATCTGGATCATCACTAATAGTTAGGTCGAGTGTTGATGACGGTTCAACAAGATTGGAATGACGGTAGATTGGAAAAGTTATTAGCTGTGTTATTTATTTATTTTAATTTATTATCTTCTAAACAAGATTGGAATCTCAAATCTCTAGGGCATTCATCTATCACATGCCTAACGGTTGCGACTTTACCATTTATTTCAATAAACTCATACCATGTGTGACTTAAATTAAATCACCATATATAAACATACAGGAGCAGTTATAAGTTAACATGGCCTGTTTGATCAATTGATTCAATTGTTTGAGTAAGGACAATGTCATTAATGTCACAAGGTCTATATATACAACCTAGTAACAATGATTCACCATCAAATTTGATTATACTCCATACTTGCTCAATAGCTTTAGAATTAAGTTGCTTAATTCTAACTTCTGTCGTAATTATATCACTTCTTGTGTATATTGCAACACCTCCTCCTCTGCTCTCTCTGTCTGCTCGATGCAATTCATATCCTTTTACAACTGTGTCAGATGTATTATTATACCGTGTTTCCGCAAGAAAAATTATATGAGGTCTTTCATGCATTGGTTTGGATGAAATTCTAGCTATAAGTTCTCCTTTTTTTAAATTGTTTAATGAACATGGGTTGTTTGCCCAGAAACATAGTTGTCCTGATATTAATGAAGATGAAGTTTATGATTTTGAAGATAACTGTGAGAGGTTGGGTTTTGACTTTAATTTCAATCTTATTGGGCGGATTCTTTTATTAATACTTTTCAGGTGTATCTCAGGTTTTGAGGTTGTTAGGTGTGGTAGATGAAATTGTGGTGGTAGCTGATGTACTGTTTCCTTCAATATTGCTACTATTGATTTTACTTCGTTGGCTTTTGAGTGCAATTGTTGGTGATTTAAAAACATACTGTTTACTTCTGGTTGATTCAATAACGTCAATGCAGACAATTTTACCGGTGCGGCCATGGATGACGTTCCGAAATGGCTGATCTAGCAGCCCTGCAGCTTTAGTTTTTGATTTCGTTTGACTATTTGTGATCGCTTGGCATAAAATCGGCCTGCTCAGCAGGAGTTCTATCTTGGTGAACAAAAACTTTCTCATATTGCTTAATGGTATGATGTCTGCAGGTGTTTAGAACTAACTCTTTCTCTATTTTATTTGAGAGAGATACTTGGATGATGTTAGAGTTAGAGTTATTTGATGTTGCTTTTAGTTTGCTTGATTTTAGTCTTTGAATATGCTTAATTTCAACATTTTCTAATCCAACAGCTCCATCTATCACTTGTTTACTATCCTCAACTGTGTTATTTTCTAAGATTCCAATAACAATGGCATTTAATTCTCTTGATTGGGTGTGTTTATTTACAGTTGAAATTAGTGAACATATCTGCTGACGTTGTTGTTTGCTTTCAGTAGACTTACCAATGAGATCATCACTGAAAATTTTAGATTCCAATTTGTTCTGGTTTTTTTCTACTTGAATTTTCAGTTCATTTATTGTATTTTCTTGTGCAATAACTTTCTCACTTAATAATTTTGTTGCTAATTGCATATCTTGAAATGCTGCAAATACTGCTTTGTCCAGCCTAGTTAAGTTAGTGTTTCCTTGTTCAAATCCAGTAAAGTAATACTTCAAAGAAAAACTGATATCTGTTGCATCAATAACTTTTGAAGACATAGTATGATGCTTGATGGTGGGAGGGCTACCACCCTGAATAACAGTGGATTACCTCCCTGATATGAAATATTCAATATTTATTATTTACTTATTAACATAAATAGAACTGTTAGTTTTTTGTGTTTTTTCCGTATATATATATGTATATATATATATATATATATATATATATATATATATATATATATATATATATATATATATATATATATATATATATATATATATATATATATATATATATATATATATATATATATGTTTGTATATATATACATATACATATATATATATATATATATATATATATATATATAATATATATATATATATATATATATATATATATATATGTGTATATGTGTGTGTATATATATATATATATATATAATATATATATATATATATATATATATATATGTATGTATATGTGTATATATATATATATATATATATACATATACATATACATATATATGTTTATATAACTGTTGCAATTAATCAATAGAGATTTCAGGTTTATTTTTTATTTACTTATTAATTGATTAATCTGCAGTTAGACCTACTTAAGCCTATTGCTATGATTTATTATATATAGATTGTCCTCATGGGTCTTCGCATATAGTATTGTTATGGGTCTTCGCATATAGCATAATATTTTTGTAAGTGCACACTACATTACACTAAATATTCACAAGCATTATGCATTTCCAAGACATTTAAAAATGTTAGACAGCATAACCTAGCTCTATATCAGTAACCTAGCATCTACATCTACTTGGTCTGTAATTGTATTATTTGTAGATCATATTATTTGTTAATTAATATATCAAATTCTGTTACTTATAGTGTGTATTTTTCTAAAACATGCACATTATAAGTAACACATGGGTTGTTATTGAAAATAACACTTATGTAAAACATTTATGAATAATTGAGTGTATTTCTTACACCCTTTATTTATTGATTATTACATCAACAAATGTGTTACATATAGTTTGTATATTCTGTATACAAATATAACAAATTTTGTTACTTATAGTAACACAATTTTGTTATATCTATCTGTTTGTTTACAGAAGCTTTGCAAAATTATTTAATAAATAATTATCTGTAAGGAAATATGAATATATAGTGAAGAAAAAATACTGGTAATTTGTTTGTTCTATAGCACCAATATCGCAAAAGATAAATTGTTAATATTGATGTATAAATAATATATATTTATTACAAGTCTGAATGATTGTTGCAGGTTTAATGCTGCCTAGGGGAACTATTATTAATATTATTCAGTGCATCGAGTCAATAGATGGCGTTAAGGAAACACAGATTTCAACATCACATTGTATATTTCAACCTGGCACATCTATATATTCCTAATACTGGGATATATGCCAGTTACCTGGCTCGTATTATTCCGGTAGTTTTCTTGGGTTCTCGGAATATATAGATATGCCATGTGCCCGGTTTAGATAAAAAAAACGCCCAGCACATCTCTTATAATTATATAATAGGAATTTAAGTTATTGTTTTTTTCTTTATAAAAAAAAGTTCAAAAAAGAATTGCGGATGGCTATCGATTAATTGAAGAAATTGACAATTATATAAAAGAATTCCGAAAAAATTAGGAATAGGTAACTTTAACTTATGCTAGATTTCTTTTCTTATTTTTTCGTTTTTTTTTTTAATTAATTTTAAGTTAAATTTTATTGAGGTTTGCTTCCTTTTTATGAATTGAGTTTGTTTAAGAATTGATGTAACATTTTTTTTTGTTTGCTAGGAAATGATCAAGTTAAGGAAGCTTGCTAACCAATCGAAGAATTTATTGAATAATATTTATATTTTTTAGCCAATCAAAGATCGGCGAATAATATTTAAAATGTATTAAATTAGTTTGCACTTTGAAAAATATTTTTTGTTACTATTCCCGATTTCATGTTTTATGTATTCGACGTTTATTTTATACAAAAAATTTCTTGTGTCGTTAAATGCTTTTTTTTTCTTGATGCCACTATCGTTGAATCACGCGATACTTGATTTTTAGGATGATTAGAAATCTCCTTTTAGTGTGGCCCATAGACGGAGTCTAATTGCAAGTAGCCTGAAGTGATTACTTTAGGGACCATAATAAGTGGAAGTATAATGGAGGGTAGGTTAAGGTCTCCCCGGCTTCATATTAATTTTAATTAAGTAGTATTATACTAGTATGAGTTATCTACTTGATGAATGCTTCATACTAACTGCTGTGAGACACCGACAAACGGCGTAGTTGTCGATCAGTGCAATGCCAATGTTAAAAAAACTTCAAAAGATGCAAACAAAGATATAAAAAAATCCATAGAATCATAACATTTTGATTTGCAAAAAATTGTCATTTCGTCAAAAAATTTCAACCATTATATCCATGCCCGATAAACAGTCTACAAATAGATTGGGGTTAATATTACTTGATCAAGGTACCTGCTAGTAAATTATCTACGACACGTATTATTAGACACACACTGTAGTATTATAATTCAAAAAAAAAAGTCTATTTTCATGAAAATCAGAAGACAAATCATATTTTTATTTTACAACTTTTCTTAAAAATTGTTTGTATAGGATAACTTGTAATAAAAAAATCAAGTTTAATCGTTTAATGAAAATCAAATATTGCTAAATGTTTTTAAAAGTTTTTGTCCTTCTATTAACCAGGCACGCCGGAAAGGGGTAGTCTAGGGTAGCAACTGCTACTCCTACCTTTTTGGATGGGGTGGCAAGAGTAGCATGAACGTGCCCTTTCTAGGAAATAGGTGTGGTAAATATTTGTGCTTTAAAAGCATTTCATTATCCAACATTTCATTATCAATATTTATTATCAATATCTACCAACTGTTAATAGGTGGGATAGGAAAGATTTCAATCAGCATAGATTTTTAGCAAATCTATTGCATAGGTTTGCTAAAAACAGTGTATATATTCGTTGGACAATTCCAAAAAATGATATTGGCTTGGTAAAAGATGTTGCACAGTCGCTTATAACTAAATTTAGAGAGTGGCATCCACAAGGCATAAAAGCTCTTGGGTTTATTTCGCAAACTCGAGCTTGCACACCATTATTTTTACCCTTCATATTCATGAAATTGTGCTCGAAAAAATAATAAAGTACGGTATAAAAAACCAAACTATTAAATGGTTTACTAATTATTTAAATAACAGACAACAATGTGTTATAATAGACGGTAAATAAAATGTGGTGTCCCCCAGGGATCTATTCTTGCACCTTTATTATTTCTTATTTACATTAACGATCTCCCTAAAGCATCTACAAATCTTGATTGTATAATGTTTGCAGATGATAACAATCTGTTTTACTCATCTACCTCTATCAAAGATCTTTTTGATAAAGTCAGCATTGAGCTTCAAAAACTTAAAACAGTTCAGTGGTTCAGTGCTAACATGTTATCATTAAACGCACAAAAAACTAAATATATTTTATTTCACTAAAGAAACAGAAAAATAAACTACCATCAATTCTACCCTCACTAAGTATCGAACACAAAAAAATTGAAAGAACCCAAACAATTAAATTTCTTGGTGTGATTATTGACAAAAATATTTCATGGACAGCCCATATAAATGCCATCAAGACTAAAACACCTAAAAGTGTTGGTATACTCTTCAAAGCTAGACCATTTTTATCACAAAAAAACCTAAAACTTCTTTACTTTTTCTTTATACACAGTTATCTCACATATGCCACCAATGCTTGGGGAAGCACACACAAGACAAAGTTAATGTCGCTTTATCGACGACAAAAACATGCCTCTAAAATAATACATCATAAAAACAAACTGGCTCATGCTAAACCCCTATTAAAAGAAATGAAAGCCCTAAACATTTACCAAATTAATATCTATGCTAATATATTGTTCATGCTAAAATACAAATTAGGATTAGTTCCAAACCGATTTACAGAAAACTTCTTTCAATCTAATATCAACAAATTTAACACAAGAGCAACTGGTAACTTTATTGTACCCCGCAAAAGACAAAAATATTCTCAACTTTCTATTTCTTATTGCGGCCCTTATTTATATTACAAATTAATTTCGAATTATACCTCAATTTCTCTTGCTGGCAATATAACTTCTTTATAGTCAAAACTAAAAAATCATGTTCTCAATACAGATAATTACTTTGAAATGTTTTAGTTCTAATGTTAAATTAATATTTACGCTCACATTCAAACAGCAATCAATCAAAAATGAAAATGTATTGTGGTTTATAATAATAATATTAGCTTTATTTTTTTAATTAAAAAATAAAGCTAATATTATTATTATAAACCACAACACTAACACCACACATAGTATAATAATAATAAAAAAGTCTACATCAATAACATTTAAAATATTTGTTTTATGAGAATCATAATGTTTATATGTGTACTTTACGCAATACCCCAAGGTTCTCGATGATAAGACTAATCTCAGTCTTCTACGAGTTCCCTACAACAGTCAAAACCCTTTTTTTGTATTGGAAGTATATTTTGTTTATGTTATTGCAGTGTAATAAAATTTGTAATTAATATGCAGTCGTAAAAATTTTAAGAAAAAAAAAAAAAATTTGGACCATTATCGTATCCTTCCCTTCTACAATTCATTAAATTTAAATTCAGAAATTCCAACAACTTTTGCAAAATTTTAAATAAAGATTGTCCAGTGGATTTTCAACAGTTTGATAAGTTATATATATCTCTACCACATCGCTTGAAATATCAACAAATTTTAATGTAAAGGAGAGTTGTTCAGTATGACTGACATCAGGGGTGCAGTCTAGAACTATACTAAAATATTTTACATCTTTAGCTCGTCTTAAAAAGTTGTCTTTAATTCCGGATGCCAATACAGGAATTTACTCGTTTTGAATTATTTTTCCGCAATAAGTTACACGATATTCTTTAGTAGAAATGCGTCGCAAATACTCTTTTAAAGTTGCGCGTTAAGTTGGCGTTTAAAGTTGCAAAGACTTTATTTGCTCAAAGTTCCACTAAACCCAAAAAATTTTAATTTTTAGAAGTAAGTAATCTGTCTGAAAAACCACGTAAAGGTAAGTTATTTTTCAATAGATACAAAATTATGTTGCACAATCGATGTAACACAAAGCACCAGTGAGAAAGCCAGTGATCTCTTTCTCTAATAATTAAAAATTTCAAATTTTTATCAATTTATTTGTTTGAAGCTTACGACTAGCTTCAAACCAATTACCTAAACACTTTAAATGTTCGGGTGAATTTTCATGCGATTTTATATATTCAGTAATGTATTTCCAGTTATTGATTCCAACAGTGGCTAATGATGATTTTGTTTTATCTCAATAATAAAGTTTACAACAAACACAAAACACTTTATCAGAACTTGATGAATATAGTATGCAAATAAGATTCACCATTATTTAATTTTCTGTATATTATTAATTTCGAAAAAAAAGGATTGTTATGATCTCGTGGAAATTCAATAACATTTGTTAGGTGAGATTCTACATCAATTCCTACATAAATTGTGATCACAAATTTTAGAATTAATAGAAATTAGCCATAGTGCAGGATCATTTATATGTATTTGAACGTCACCAGTAGTGCTAGAACTAGGAGACTGAGATGTTGTTTCAAGTTGTCTACTTTCTTCAGGAGTTTCTTCCATTTTCTCGTCCAAAAAAGAATTACTACCAATTAATGACAAAGGGCAACCAGTTTCTTCACTTTGCTTGGACTCTACTTGAAAATATTTCGTAAAAAACTTTGCAGACTTTTCATTTTCTTGTTTAAATTAAAACTGTCTTTTTCGGTTTGCTTCACCCGATGGTTTATTTGCAGACATAATATACTCTTAAGGTGATACTAGCCCATAAAAATTTAAACAGTCAAAATAATGATGTTATTGTGATCTATTCACCCGAATTTTTATTATATACTTTTACCCGAATTTTTATTATATACTATTCACCCACAAGTTTTTATTATAATTTGTAAAAAACTATTTGTATTAAAAAAAGCATTTAGAGTAAATATAATCAAAACTTTGAATGAGTCATGCTGAGTCAGCAAAAAATATACAATTTTAACTACATTTTTAAACTTATATTTCTCAATAACTAGTCAGAATTTGAGTTTAAAATTTTGAACACAGGTTAACAACATATTGATTAAGAGATTTGACCAGAATCATCATTATAACATTTATATTATTAAAATGGCAGCGTTTTAAGTTAAAGTTTTTAGTTTTTGTGTAAAATGTGTGCTGCCAACATCAATACCTCAACAACAGCAAACTATAAAAATCTCATTTTGGTCAGATCCCTTCATAGTAATCAGATGAATAATAGGTGAAAACTTTAGCCATAATACTCAAGTAGTTAAAAAGATATTCTCGTTCAAAGTTGAAAAAAACGTTCACAGAGAAAACGCAAAAAAAAAAAAAAATTAAAATAAATATAAACAATGTATATCTTTCAAAAATTTTTGAATACATATGAGCCATCCTTACAAAATTCTTATCTTATACCTCTCAGCTTATTCCTTCTCAGTTTTGTTTACTTCTTTTTCTTTTTTTCCATATGGCTGATGCAATTTTTATCTTTTTTCCAAGAAGAAAATATTTTCCCCAACGGAATCCAATATGCTGAAATGTTTGTTTATGTGTAACAGTAATTCTGTTCCTTCAATAAAATTATTTTACAAAGTAAAGGCAATAAAAAAATGGCAATAAAAATTTATCATGGTTGTAAATGTAATTGAATACCTGCATTACCATAACTGTGCAATAGTTAGTTTCATGTGCTAACTCTTTTACAAGCTTACAATTTTAAGGAGGTATAAATTGAGGAGAGGTATAAGAGAACTTGAATGCTGAATAAAAACTCCATTCTATACATAACTTAAGCAAAAACCCATGGTGATCATTTCGAACATGTGTAAGCTTAATAGGTGAGTTACAGTCACAACAACG